CTCTTAAGTGTCCCTTTTATAGGAGTCCATCCTCTTCTCAGCCTAAAATCTTCTTGTGAACTAAAGTCTCATATCTCCAACTGCTTTCCTGAACGTCTCCCATCCTTTGCACACTCCGTGTGACTCCAACACGTTCAGCTCTGGCTCCCAATGCACTTTGCCCTACTCTCTATCTGAAATCATTCCCTGGTCCCCCGCCCTCTCTGCCTTCCAAAGGCAGCTTCCGAAGCATTGGGCATAGGGCGCCAACTGCAGCCCCCATGCCACATGCACAGGGACACATTCACAGTTTCACAGTCGGGAAGGAAGAAAGGCAGGACACACCTGTTTTCCTTTCTCCTCTCAGTCCAATTTGCTTCAAGCATCAGCTTAAATGCCCCCTCCTTCATCAGCCCTTCCCAACCCCTGGGCAGGGCTGAGGGCACCCCTGGCTGCGCTCTACCCATCCTTGTCCAAATCTTTTTTAACTCTTGGCATGCCGTTATGATGACATGCTCATGAGTCCAGCTCTTCTACTCTACTTTTGTGCCTCGGTGTCTCACACCATACCCAGTGTACCCAAGGAGGAAACAAATGAAGGAAACAGATGCAGACTCAGAAAAGTCCCAAACTACCTGTACCCAAGAAGAAAATTTAATACTCAAAAATAACAACAGGGAACATTCACCAACTTGTTCTAGGCATATGACCTTCCCAGCAGGCATCTTCACATGACAGGAAGGCAGGCCATGCTCTGCTTCAGCCTTGAAGCACAGCACAGGGATTTTTCAAATATTAATGGCAACTGGCATTCCACAATGACTATCAGGCAGCCGGGAACTGGGGAACTTGATAGTGGCTTTGCTAGTAGCATACAATGGAGGGCACGTGCCAGGTACAAAGGGTGTAACCATTAACAGGAGGCACTAGTCACAGCACCTGCAGGCCGGTTGGCTGGTCCATCTGCCTGCCGCCTTTCAGAAGTTCAAATGCAGGTCTTCCAATGGCGCCTGAGCCTTTGGCATGGGGCCCCAGGCAGGGCAGAGTCCCAACCTTGTTGGCCACTCAAAACAGTTCCCTGCATCTCTTTCTCAGGCAGAACACTTTTCCCTGCCTGGTTTGGTCCACCCACAGGCAGGGGCTGGGTTGGAATGGGGCTCTGCTAACTCAGGATCTTTATCTTCTGAGTTCAAAAGGTCCTCCCAACAGCAGGTCTGGGAAAACATTACTCCCTCTCCCAAGGGCACAAGATAAACCAGCTAGCAGCAGAGAATGAGAATCAGAGGGACTTGGCTGTCAGCAGCCTTAGAATTTTGACTGGTCAGAGTTCCAAGCAAGGTGCCTTCAACAGATGTGTCTCGGAAGACCAGGCACCTAGCAGGTTCTCCACAAGTATTTTTAGACTTGACAACAGAACCAGGTCAGGAGGAGTCTTGCAGGTTTAGTCATTTTAATAGGTATTCAAGACACTTCCTGAATGCTGGTGTACCAAGTGATGCAAGGCCCAGCCCCAATTGTCAATGAGCTTCTGGCTGTGGGGCCATGGGTATACTGGCCATGCCAAATCAGGTGCTATGAGAGGAAAGAAGAGGGTGTCTGGGCCCCCAGCCCATGAGGAAAGAGGGACCAGGAAGGTTTCCTGAGTCAGCCCTGCCTCGGCTGAGTCCTGAAAGATGAGGTGGCAGGACGCAGTAGGATCAGCGTGGGCACAGGACAGGGCCTCAGAGAGCACAGTGGCTCAGATTAAAAGACAATTCTCAAAAAAACCCAAAACAATTCTATAGTCCAGCCTCACGGGCTCTAAGAAGCCAAAGGACCTGAGACAGAGAGGCCTGGGGTACCCGGGGCTGCCAAGGAAGCCCAGTACTCCTTCGTGCTGGGAAGTGGGGAGGGGCCAGACCATGAAGGCAGGGAAAGATGCCAGAAGCAGGAGGATTAATGTATACACTGACATCCTTTTGAGGCCCACAGGTTTACCAAGAAATGAAGGCTGGAATGTCCCTGGCTGGAAAAGGAATTACAAAGGAGAATGAGGGAACATGACAAAATGATTCAAGGAAAAGCTGAAGGGACGGACATTGGTGAGGGGAGCTTTTAATTCTACATTTAGAACACTTCACAGGGAAGGGCTCTGATTAGTAACAGAATTACAGCTGGGTAAACAACCCTCAATGCGTGTGGTACCCCATTAAAATTGTGTAACAATTAGGTAGACACAGAGTTTCGGATTGTGGGAAACAGGCCAAGCCATGTGCAGTGTGTTCTCACTCACCTGTAAAGAGAGAGAGCACACCTGGTTGGGATGGAGGGAGAAACCATGACTGCTCACATGTGACCCCTGCCAGCAGTACCCAATCAGGCAGGGAGACATAACTGTACAGGACAGAATGAGATCTTATCTCACAACCCTTAAGGGAGATAGTTATCAGAGACAAAAATAACTGCTAATGGCCTATGCACTTATCTAGAAGCTGGGCCAGCCCTGTGGACAGATAGGGGCTCCTTTCGCAATATCGGCCTTTCCTCACCTCTACCCCCCACCACTCCTAAGCATGGGAGAAAGAGTGGGGAGGAGCCACCACACACTTGGCCTCTGTAGCCTCAGTAGTCTTTCCAAAGTCCCACCTGCTGCTAATACTGAGGTACCACACAGAAACTGGGGTCCTGGAAGGACAGGGAGGGGACCCCGAGAATTCTGCAACCTTGGATCTATCTCTGGGTCTGAGAAGGTCTTTTTTTCAGAGACCTAATTGTGAGAATGCTCTGAGAGGACCAACCCTTGGTCTGGAGTGAAATACGGTCCTTTGAGATGAATGACAATCTGGAACTTTCCCAAAAGGCAAATAAACACGTGAGACGGGAAGGTCCCTGGAATCAAGCATGTGATTTTACACCTTTAGCATCTTACATCCCACTGTTTACTCTAACCAACAAAACAGGGCTTTGTCACAGACATAAAAAGCCTACCATCCTGCCCCATACCCCAAAAAGGTAAGGGGTTATTAATCAGACTTCTGTTAGCTTATCTAACCTTTGTTTTACAAACATAAAACATTAGATACCTCCAGGGTTCAGTCTTCTCACTCTATACACTCTCCTGGGAAGACCACTTCACCCTCAGCTTCATTGCCACACAGGAAAGAGTCTCCAAAATGGTCTCTCCTTGGTGCCAGACCATCACATATCCACCTACTGCTGGGAAGTCTTACCAACCCTCAGTTCTACATGTCCAAACTAAAAGTCATCACCTGCCCCCACGCCTGTCCCCTTCCTGCATACTAAGTGTGTGGCATGGGCTCAGTTGCCAGTCACCCAATCTTGGACTATTCCTTAAGTCTTCCTTTCTCCCTGGCCTTTCCCCCATCCCTACAGCTACTTGTCTCACAGTTTTGCTCTCCTTTCTGTATCCCACTGTCCTTCCTTGGTGCTGGGCTAAGCTTACATCTTACTAGATGTGCCACAGTGGTCCCTTAACCACCCCTGACTCAATGCAGCCCTTCATCAACCCATCCTGGCCACCACTGCCCAGTCACCTGTGGAGAACACAATCTGATCAGTCACTCGCAGACCCAAGGTCTCTTGGTGGCTTCCCACTGCTATCAGGGTAAAATTCAAACTCGGGCCTGGTACTCAAGGCCTCTCAAGATCTGCTGCCAGCCCAGCTCCTTAACTTTTCTCTTTCTTTACCCCAACCACCAAAGCTACCCACTGCACTTCGCCCAACAGCTGGTAGTGGGCCGTGACCTTGTTACTTCACACACATTGTCTCTTTGCCTGGAAGGCTCTTTTCTTATGATCTTGTCATTCCTATTGTTCTTCAAAATTTAGCTCAAGCCTTTCTCAGGAACCTCCATCAAAGGCCAGCTGGATGTCGCTCTGTGCCCAAAGCAAGCTCTGTCCACCTCTATGGGAGCACCTCCTACAGTGCCACAGGTCACTGACCCGTCTCCTCACTGCACTATAAGCTCCTTATGGGCAGACTCACTCAACTTTGTAGCCACAGGGCCTCCTCAAGTGCAGTGTGATTTCAATAAACTTGTGCAGAATAAAATTTTCAAAACCTTTGAATAATGAATTCAAGTTGATTCTTAGTAAAAAGCTGAGATTTTTGTTTCCTTGATATTATCTCCACTTGGAAAGTGACACTTGAAACAGCCACTGAAATTGCTGCTCCGAGTTAAAAAAAGGCTTCTTTCTTCCATGTACAGAGTTGTCATAACAGAAAAGGTATGCTCAAACAGGTAAAACATTGAACAGGGTAAATGTTAAGTGATTTTTTTATAACCTGCTTTGTTGTCCTTGTGTATTTTAAACCAGAAACCTTCTAAAAGCAAACACTTAAATATGTCATCTGCAGTTGGCTTAGACTATAATAAGAATTAGAAGCAACAATGCGTGCCCAAGGTCACTTGACCTTCTGGACAGTCCTGGCAGGTGTGGTCAAGAGCTGATGAGGCCCACCTGCTGGTGAACTTGCAGGTCCAGGGGGTAAATTTTATTATTGTTATGAAAAGCCTGCCTAGATTACTAGATTACTTATACATCTCCAGAAGGTCACCCTTACTCCCAGGTGAAAACCAGTACACTAGTTTTAGCACCTTGGTTCAACAACCATTCAGAGATAACCCCTGCCCATTCAAAGTCAGGTAATGAGGGAGCAAAGATGAATGTAATGGGCCTCCAGCCCTGTTCACAAGGAAGGACAAGCTTCTAAACAGAGCACTCATTACCAGATAAGCACTTCAATTAAAGGCTTTATCTGAGGGCTGACATTAGATGAGGACCAATGTTCACAATAAAGGGAAGCCATGTGGGGGTCATCCACTGGCTTTAAACTGCTGTGAATTGTAACACCTTTGTGAGGTTTCTTGATCTTTTCTTATCTGGGTTTGTTTATCACAGCCTATATCCCTTAAAAAAACAAAAACAAAAACCTGCATACTTGTCTTCAAGACAATTAAGCAAACATTTACAGGTGCCTATTATGTGCTGAGGATAGAAAGTGAAGATGGAGCTCTCACCCTCAAGTGCAGGAAATAGCCATACGTCTGCGGAATAATGGGATGGTCTTTTTTGCCATTGCCTGGAAGTCCCTGCTGACTCTGGAGCAAACATACAACGAAATAAGGAAAACCACCTTCAAGGGCTTCTGTTGACCCTGGAAAGGCAGACAGACTAATGACTTGGAATAAGCATCTGGGGAAAGACCACAGCACCAGCATCACAGCCACATCAGCCACTAGGCCTGTGTCTCTCCAGCACACCACTGATCTAACAGTCCATCTGTGCCTCTGCACAGCCCAGGTGGTCCTTAGACAACCTTTGGCCTTTAATGTCAGCCCAGGCAGGGAGTGGGTAATCCAGGACGCTCACAGCATGTCTGTTCCCACACTGAGTAAGGTCAGAGATGAAAACCTGTGCCCAGGCCACCTAACCCTGCTGGGAGAAAACGGTGGACAGGTGCAGCCCATCCCCAATCTCCAGCTGTGCTTACTTAAAACTCAGATAGCACAGTGCCCAGGGGCCCTGTGGAAATGCTTCTGTCTCCCGGCAAATCGGTCACGCCAAGTGGGCACCCGCCAGACAGGGCTCAGACGCTGGGTGGGCATTTCATCCTGAGGCAAGCGGAGGGCTGTAAGGGGAGCAGTTGTCAGTCTTCGACAGCAGAACGTTATCAGGGAATGTTGTAAATTCGAACCCAAAAGAAGATTTCCTACCCCGCAGAGACTGAAAGTGGCCCAAGGAAGGAGCGACACAGAGGCAGCTCCTTCCGACTGACGCCTCGCCCTGGGCTGGCCGGCACACAGACCGCGGCTGGTCAGGGGCACCGGCCCTGCCCGTGGGGTGCGTGTGCGGCGGGACCCAGGTCGGCTCTGGCCCCGCGTTACGCCCCGCCCGGCGCTCGGTCCGCGGGGGCAAGCGGGCAGTGGTGCCAGGAGGATGGCCGAGGGCCCCGGACCCCCGCGCTGCGGCCGGCCCCCGCGCCTCACCTCGGACGGAGGCCCCGCAGTCCGGCCCCCACGCCCCCTCCCTCAACACGCCCCCCCCCCACGGTGACAGCCCGCGACCTGGCCCCGCAGTCCTCGAGGCCTGGTAGCCCCCGCGGCGGGCCGCCACGCCCCCCGCCCGCCAGACGGGCAGCGTACCCACCTCCACCACCGCGCCGTGCGGCACCGCTTTCTCTTCACCTCGCCGCGCTACTGAGCACCGGCTTTTCTGCGCACGCGCGCACGCGCGCGCGCGGCTCCGCCCCCGCCGAGCACGCGCCGCGGGCTGCCCACCCCGGGCGCCGTGAGTCTCGGCCGCAGCAGGCTCTGGGCATGCGCGCTGACGGCCCGCGGCTCGGCGGCGAGAGCATGCGCCGGACTAAGAGCGGTCACCGCGCAGAGGGGCAGGGGCTCACTAGCGGTTCGCTAGTGCAGGAGCCGAGTGGGCAGGGGACTGCGGGGCCCTGCGGAGGGCAGGGCCGGGGGCATCGGGAGCCGGGAGGGCTGCCCGCCGGAGTCGCCACCCCACCGGGCTACATATAGACCAGGGAACGCGCGTCCGCGTGGGCACTGCGTCCGGTCCCAAGCGGGCTGAGAAGGGACGTAGAGGGTCCTCGGGGCGAGACCTTAGCGGAGGAGCCACGAGGCGGAGGCCGAGAGAGACAGCCGGACGGAGACAAGAGACAGGGACACAGCAGGCCAATAAAGAAGCCGAACACAGGCAGAGACGCAGCGGAGACAGGGACACGGACGCCCAATCGGCAGAGACTGGGCAAGGCATAGGTGACAGGCAGGATAGACGGGGGCTAGAGGACATCGGCCTGGCTGGGGGGAGAACTCACAGCGCCCTCTGCGGGTCCTGACAGGGTGCGGGGAAACCAGTGTCGCAGAGCCCCATGGGGGGTCTACGGGCGTCTGTGGTGGCCACAGTGCCTCTCGGTGAGTCATAGCGCTCTCTGGTGGATCAGAGAGTCCGAGGGGGGTGGAATCACAGAGGCCCTTGGCATGTTCTCAGACCTATGATGGGTTCTGGATTCACAAGAGGGGTTGTAACTGTTTGGGGGATGTCACAGTGCCTCTTGGAAAGGTGAGAACGCTCTCCACGACATCGCAGGGAGGCGGGCATAGCGGCCCTTGGGGTGTTCGCAGAGTGTTGGGCCCCACAAGGAAGTTCACAGCCTTCCGGAGGTATCACTGTGCACTAAGAGTGGGCAGACAGCACGAGGGTGTGGAGGACCAAGGAGTCCTCTGGGATGACAACTGCCAAAGGAAGCCTTGAAGCAGCTCCTTGGAGCTATCACATCCTTCTGTGTCGCTGCGTCCATCACACCCCTCCTGGGCACGGGCACAAAGCACCGAGGGAGGTGCTTGGCAGGGTTGGGCGAGGGCCTAAATGGCGACGCGCGCGATACGAGCAAAGACTCCTCGGCAGGCGGATGCACTGGTTGAACGTACGCCTTGATGTGTGAGCAGCGCCCCGCCCGGCCGCAGCCCGGCCCGCGGGCTCAGGCCGCCCCGCAGCGCCCCCGCCGCTCGCGCCGCTGCAGCCTCCGAAGGCGTCGTGTCCACGCGTCGCGCCAGGGTAGCACGAGGCTCCCACGGGCGGCGCTGAGCCCAGGCCCTCGGCCCCCTGGACCCGCGACTGCGGTCCCTGACCCGCCCCCCAGCAGCAAATATCGGCGCCCGGGCAATAGGCGTGGGCAGCCGCAGGCCGCATCCCGCGCGGGCACCCACAACGCGCTGCTCCCGCGTCGCGCACGCTCCTCGCCGCTTCGGAACACGGCGAGCACCGCCACCGGGAAGCGCGTCCACGAGCCACGCGCCTCGCCGCGCGCGCCCACCGCCACCTGCACCGCTGCGGAGAGGGCGAGAGGGGGGTGGGGTCAGGCTGGGAGGGGGCGGCCCGCGCCAAGGAAGACTGGGCGTTCGCGCCCCAGAGGGAGGACGGAGGAGGGACACAGAGGATACCCACTGGACCCGGGAGGGAGGGCACAGAGAGGACACACCGCAGAGGGGGACACAGGCCACCAGGGGCTGACGGGGTGGGGCCAGCGGCAGTGGGGGACCTGAGGGATGGAGGATGGCTTTGGGGTCCAACAAGGGTCAGGGTATCCAAAAGGAAAGTGGGGAGTGCAAGATCAAAAGATTGAAGGCCTGAGGGCTGCCTACCGTAGTCCTTCCTGCAGAACTTTTTCAGGCTAATGCGGTAGCTGCCACGGGCGGGTTTGCAGTGCAAGTCGCAGTCTGGTTGGTGGGGAAGGGTAGCGGGGAGGCTGGCACAGATCCCCACCTCCTTCCCTGCCTTCTCCCCTCCTTAAACCCATAGCTCCCTCCCTCCACGGACATGCTAATCTGGGACCCTGATTTATATCCACTTACCCTGGGGCTCCACAGGGCTGCTGTCCTCAGTGGGTCCAGGAACAGGGGTCTCTGGAGAGAAGGTGGTGGGAGAACGGCCTGCATTTGAGGGGGACAAGGGGGTCTGCAGGGCTTGGGGACAGGTAGGCAGCAGTAGGGAGCTGGGGTGGCCTAAGCGGGGCAGGGTCACTCACTAACGCAGGGTGCCACAGGAGAGCGGCTCTGCTGGAAGCCAGGGGCACAGCGATTGCAGGTGAGACCGGTGACTCCATCCTTGCAGGGACACTGGCCTGTGGTCTGGTTGCAGGTTTTGCCAGCAGCGCCAACAGGGTGACAGTCACAAGCTGAAGACAGAGGTGGGATGGTCAGAAACCCATCTGGAGTTATGGGAAACCAGAGGGTGAGGGTGTTCAGGTGGCTGGTGGCGGGCTCACCCCTGCAAGCGCGGCGGTCACTCGGTGCACGACCTGGGTCTCGATAGAAGCCCTCCCGGCAGTAGTGGCAGTGGCGGCCAGCAGTATTGTGCCGGCAGTTGAGGCAGACACCGCCACTACGGCGACCAGACAGTCGGTACAGCTCCATGTTGAAGCGACAGCGTCGGGCATGGCCATTGCAGGAGCAAGCTGCAGGAAGGGATGGGTCAGGGGCAGGCTGGCTGGGTCCAAGATCCCCAGGCCACCCTCCAAGGCCTCACCAAGGCAGGCGTGGGCTTCCCGGGCTGTGGCCCGCTGCCATGGCCTGTCGCAGTAGAAGGGCTTGCAGCGGCCACAGTCAGGGCCCTCTGTGCCATGCTGGCAGTCGCAGATCAAGTGGCCCTGGGTGTCCAGCAAGCACCGCGAGGCATGCCCATTGCACTTGCAGCGCCCGCCCACCTGAAGCTCAGTGGCTGAGTAGGAGTAAGGGACTATGGCTGGAGAGTCCCTGGTGTTCCCCAGCATGGCAGGCCTTGTGAGCACTACTCGAATGTCCGTGGCAGTCACCCAGTCTTGGAGCACCGGGCTGCTGTCCAGATCTAGGCCTGGCGGGCTGCTGTCCTGTACACTGAAGGCCAGAAGGCCACCACCATCAGGCTGGGCCTGAGGCTCAGGAAAGCACAGGGCTTCTGGCCCTGGGCCAGCTGGGCCATCCGCAGGGGCAGGCTGGCGGCCATAGTCCAGGCCACAACGGGAGGAGAAGAAGCCCAGTGGGGCCCAGCTGCGGCCGTGATCCTGCGACTTGAGCAAAGCCACGGAGGTGGGAGGCGTGGAGCAGAAGCGCAAGCTCACGAACACCAGCTCAAAAGCCTTGCCCAGGGGTACTGTGAGGGTCACGTTGAGGGGCACCTGCGTCAGCCAATCCGAATGCCAGCAAACAGGGCTTGCGGTGCCCCCTGTGGAGGTCAGAAGGGCTGCTGGGTGTGCCCGCCGCGGGTCCGAAGCGTCACAGGCCCGCGTGGGCGGCCGTCCGCACGTGCTGGACGCCAGCACCTCGCGGCCCAAGGCCGCGTTCACCAAGCCTGGCACGCAGCCGCGGGGCGCGCCCCCCTCGTCATGGCAGGGGTCGGCGGACGCTGGCGGCCCGGGGCTCAGCGCGGCCGAGAGCGTGCCAGCGGTCAGCAGCAGCCCCCAGGGCCAGCTGGGCATGGCCGGAGCCGCTGTGGGTCAGCCAGCCGACCGGGGCCTCACGCCGCTGCCCTCGCGGGGAGAAAGCCCGGGTCCGAGGATCTGCCGGCCGGCCCGCAATGCTGAGCAACCACCGCCCCCAGGCGGCCCCAGCCGGGGCCCAGAGGTGGGAGCAGCCGCCGGCACGCCCCGGGCCAAGCGCAGCAGCGGGGATATTGGCGCGTCCTCACGCTGGGCCTGGAGCGATGACAGGCGTCGTCCCCGCTCCCGGCGCCTCCGCCCGCGGAGGCTCCACCCGCCGCCCGCCGCTCGCACTCACCCACCGAGGGCCGGGTGGAGCAGGTCTCCCGGCCTCCCGGGAAGGGCCGAGGGCGGGCGGGGCCTGGGGCGCCCGGGCCGCCGCCTCCTCTC